TGTTTACTACACTATTAAAATATCAAAAAAATTTTATTCCTACAAATCATCCTTTGATAGTGGACTTTATTTATTTTTTAACATAACGTCATATTTGTATTTCAACATAGGGGAGTGTAATATAGTATATTACCTTTAAAGCAGGAAGTAAAACATTTTATTTAACATCGTTATGTTTTCTATAACTGTTACATAATTATTAGATCTTATATCTGTAGACAGAGATGCAACAGTCTTAGTGGGGAAAAAATACAGTAAATATTACTAGACGGGTAGTAAAGCAGCGGAAAGAATTTGTCTCACAGGTAGCTCCAAATAGAAATTTAGAGAAGATCGGACGGCAATGCAAACACGCTGCAGCGGACGGACAGTGGCTTATGCGTCGGTAATTATTATTATATTGCAATATACAAGCAGTTTCAAAATGGAAGTCGGACAACAAGACGGACAAGGCGCAGCAGGCGGGCAATAGTATGTACATCGGTAATTATTATTATATTGCAATATACAAGCAGATCCTAAATGGAAGTCGGACGACAAGACGGACGAGAAGACGGACAAGGCGCAGCAGGCGGGCAATAGTATGTACATCAGTAATTATTATATTGACAATATACAGGAGTTCCAAACTGGAAGTCGGACGACAAGACGGACGAGAAGACGGACAAGGCGCAGCAGACTGGCAATAGTATATACATTAGTAGTTATTATATTGACAATATACAGAATTTATTTGTGCTGGTAAACGTTAAGACACATATTGACACATAAGCATAGGGTATTTTAATAAAAAAAACTAACTAAAATATGTGTAAATCAAAATATAATAATTTTTAACAACATTGTTTTTGATTTGGGCATGATCTAATGTAATAGAACTTAATTATAACAAATGGTTTCTTAATAAATTACGACCTAAANTTAGAACTTAATTATAGCAAATGGTTTCTTAATAAATTACGACCTAAAAAAAGTATAACATTTTTTTTTAATTGTTCAAGTATATATCAGGTGAGAACATGGGTTCATTAGTGTTATTAATTAACTACGTTTATTTGTAGATGATACTAAACGCTTAATTCTATACCTGTATAAATATGTGTAAATTTCACTTAATGTTATTTTTTGAGCGCACAACATATTTCAGAGGGATTGTTGTCATGCGACAGCGAGGCGAATACGCCACAGTGGACGGGCAATGGCTTATGCGTCGGTAGTTATTATAATGACAATATACAGGAGTTCCAAACTNTATTGACAATATACAGGAGTTCCAAACTGGAAGTCGGACGACAAGACGGACAAGGCGCAGCAGGTGGGCAATAGTATGTACATCGGTAGTTATTATAATATATCTACCGTATTTAAATATATATAATTAACCCACCCTCACCATAATATATGTTGGGATATATTTTATCCCCACCATAAGATGTGGTATGGATATAATATATCCCCACCAAATCATATTATGTGTATTATAATTTTCTGGAATTTTTTGGAATATATTGGAAATTTCTGGAAGTTTTTGGAAGTCCGTGGCGGACGGTCCGTCTTTTAGGCCGTCCCTTATTCTTAAAATGTACCATTAGAAAACATTTTTCCGTAGAACAAATTTGATATAATAGAATTGATCACTTGAGCTAATATTATTTAAACATATTTTTAATTTTAAATAATAAACTAAAAATTTACTATTGTTCAAAGAAATAAATCAAATTTTAATCTTTACATTTTTATAAAAAAAAACTATTTATGGAAAAAATAAGGTGTAGTATTTTATAATAAATTATACAGCATTTAAACATTGTATCAGATGTGAAAATAAATAGATAAATGCTCATTATATGTTATCAAAGTAATATAATTAGAAATATACAGAGTGGCCCACCACTCACTGACAACTTAAATAACTTTTGATCCAGTTAATATTTTTAGTTGAATTTTTTTTTAAATAATAGTTATACGTTAGGTCTATAGCTATATCTCAATAATTAATTTTTTTACATTTTATTAAAAATATTAATTATTTTTAAATTTTAAATAAAATGTAAAAAAAAAATCTAAGATAGCTATTTTGTAGAGTAGAATTTAAGAAAAATTTTAGTAAAAAAATATCTTATTAATATTCAGTAGTAAATATTCTGTAGCGTTTTAAAGTTTGTGAAAATTTGAATTTTCATGTACTATTTTACGGTATTAAACATTGAAATACGTATTGAGAAAAGGACAGAAGAAAACGCTATCTTTTCATGATTACTGTGTATACATATGATGATAGTGTGTATACATTACAAACTTGGCATAAATACCATGATAAGAAATTAGATAAGGCAATTATTACTTATCACTCTCATTCAAAAGTATATTGAAAAGATAGCGTTTTCTTCTGTCCTTTTCTCAATACGTATTTCAATGTTTAATACCGTAAAATAGTACATGAAAATTCAAATTTTCACAAACTTCAAAACGCTACAGAATATTTACTACTGAATATTAATAAGATATTTTTTTACTAAAATTTTTCTTAAATTCTACTCTACAAAATAGCTATCTTAGATTTTTTTTTTACATTTTATTTAAAATTTAAAAATAATTAATATTTTTAATAAAATGTAAAAAAATTAATTATTGAGATATAGCTATAGACCTAACGTATAACTATTATTTAAAAAAAAAATCAACTAAAAATATTAACTGGATCAAAAGTTATTTAAGTTGTCAGTGAGTGGTGGGCCACTCTGTATAACACTTTAAAACACATGTAACAAATATATTTATCTACAGTAATTCTATATAATTTTAGTGATGTTATAAAGACGTCATATCATACTTGATATTATCGTGTTCATATATATATATATATGATCTAATCAAATATAAATCGATCTAGATGCGTGATACTAATAAATCCTTTATTACAATTTATTCAAACTGCACTTATGCGTTATCGAATTAATCAGTATAGTTTTTTTTTATCCAATATTTATAACAAAAATTACAAAATAATGTATTAAAATCCAATAATCATGGTGGCACTATAATAAACCTTGTAAATAATTGAATATTATTACAGATTTCTTTTTACTGATAATTTTAAACTGTGCAATACTTTTGTATACTGATTACGTTTATTCTGAACCAATCATTTTTAGAGTTAAAAGCCATTTAGTCTTTTATATTTAGTATATTTAACATACAATAAATTACATTAAATTTTACAACAATAAGTGAAAGATTTTTTTATTTTATAAAAAAAATATAATATGTATTGTAATGTATATAATAATTTTATATGTACAAAGCGCCCCATCAGTTTTAATATTTTTAATAATTTTTGACCCAGTACATATTTTTTGTTGCTTTTTTTTTTTGCAGTTTATAAGTTTTACTTTCAATAAAACTATTTTATTTTTATCCTATTATCTTGTTTTTCTAAAAATGTATTTAAATTCATTGATTTGTTGTAAAATATTTACTAAATTTAAAAACAAATTTTTAGATTTAGATTTTTTCTTTATTGCGAAAGAGAAAAGGTAAAATATTTTTCAATATACGTTGCCATCGATGCGAAGTTAAGATGGTATTAATTTTATTATAAAATGTTTTTCTTTCTTTATTTCTTTGTGTCACTACTTCACTAGACCCATTTTTCTCAAAGATACATCAAAAGATAAATCTTATCTGGTTGAAAACATTACTCTCAAAAATTAAAAATATTTCTCTCTTTCCACGTAAACGGAGTAAATCCTCTAAAAAATTACGATTTTTAAAATCGATAAATTTCAACATTTTTAAAACCTTTTTTTCTTAAAACTTTATAACTTATTGAAAAGGTACGAATCAAAACAATTTTTTTTATAAATATCTATGGGTATATTTTTTTTATAAAGTATATATATTTTTGTATATATAACCTTTAATCTTCCCACAGGGGGGTTCATAATAACAATTTGAAAAAATTAACCTTTTCAACTTATTTTTTCATAATGTTACATAGTATAAGTTAAAAAAAAATTATCTGGACGATTTGTCTTCTATATGTAAACGTTTCCCAAAGTTTAACAAAAAATAATAATGATTTTCGTGTTATGATTTTGGCTATATTTTTAAAAAATTCCCTTCTCCGTTATAAAAAAATTTACAATTGTTATAAAACGCACAATGTTTGTATGTGTTTACACCATATATTGATACAAATTTTTAAGAACTGGATGAATTATAGTGAAATTTTTATTGACAATATTTTAGACACTTTGCTCATCAAACATATATTTTTTTGAAAATCCAATCACTAACATCGGGCCTTAAAATCACATCGATTTTTTTTTTAATCATATATTATGTTTCAAAAAAACTTGACTTCTTTAAACCTAAATCAAATTAATGTTTTAAGAAGTTATATTAGTAAGTAGACTTTTTTAATGACTATTCGAAAAGTGATTTTTTAGAGAAAAGTTTCAGAACTCTACTTTAATAGATGATCATACTCAGAGCTTCAAAACCAAATTTTTACAACTTTATTATTTATATGTCTATATTATATTTCAGTTGAATATTTAGTTTTTTTTTAATAGAAACTTTTAATACCTTAGTCATTGAAACAAAGTAATATATAGTATGAAATAATATAATGAAAACTAATTTTCCTGATTTGATATATTTTTTAGTTAAATAATTAGATTTGGTGGGACTTTTGGTTAAAATTTTTGAAAATTAATTTAATTTCTACATTATAATAAACGTATAGTATATTTTGATTTTATTTGATTATAATAAATTATAAGTATAAAATTGTATTTGTATTAATAATTTGCCTTTTTAATAAATCAAAAATGTTTTCATGCAAACACCGATTTGGCTATTTTTTACATGTTTTGACTAAAAATGATTATTATTTTTTAATGTATACTTTAATATTTACTTAAAATGCTATTTTAAAATTTAAAAATATAAAAGTATAAATAAATCATCTGGATAGTTTATTATGTATATACTAATGTAATCAAAAAATTATCACTCGTTATTCAGAATTTAATACCTAATTTTAAAATGAAGGTAGGTATACACTTTATATAATGTACTTCATTGATATTTAAAAGATTTTTTTATCATATTATAGAATTGGCAATTAATATCTCTTTTGTTAATAATATCTTGTGTGATATTTAACGAAGGTAACTTCTATATTACATTATTTATGTCTATACATTTTATTAATTATACATATCAATCCATGTATTATTTAATATCAATGCTTAAAAGCATTATTTGATTTAGCTTTGAAACTGCTATTTTAGTTGTACAGGAGAATGAAATAAGAATAAAACACTCATTTTCTTGAATAGTATTAAACAATTTTAATTTTCATATAGAAAAAAATTGTATAATTCTAAAAACTAAGTAATAGTATTTTTAGCTTCCATACGAAACTGAGAAGGTATTAATTTTACTATGATGTGTTTTTTTTTGTGTCTGTATACGCTCAATCTCAGCTCTCATTGAACCGATTTTGATGAAAAATGTCAAAAGATCACAAGCCCACTGAAAGGGGTTTCAAAATGGTAACTTTTTTACAAAAAATTAACTTTTTCAACTTAACTTTTGAAAATGTTTCGGAAAGACTGACACTTTTATATATACCTTAAATTAAAGCTAATGTAATATACTTTAATTTGAAAAAAAAAAAATTTGACCTCTGGACTTGTCTTCATGGTGAAAATGACTACCGTATGCAAAAATATGTTATTTTTGTGAAAAAATTCTCGATTTTATATTTTATATAACTACTTGAAAAATGTATGGATCAATATTATTATTTTTTATAATAAATTTTTATATACTCCTTTCATCTGACAACCTTTTTTTGTAAATCGGATCAAACCCCTTTATACAAGGGGGGTAAAAACTTTACACATGCGTATCGTTACTAGGACATTTTCAATTTAATTTTTGAAAGTATTCTGGAAATACTGACACTTTTATATATATTTTAAATTAAAGCTTATGTAATATACTTTAATTTGAAAAAAAAAAATTTGACCTCTGGATTTGTCTTCATGGTAAAAATGACTACCGTATTCAAAAATATGCTATTTTTGTGTTAAAATTCTGGGTTTTGTATTTTATATTATTTTAAAATACCTGACAAGGGGAATACAGATTTTCATAAAAATTATAGAAATAAAAAATTAATATAGTATAGAAAGTTAAACTTATTTAAATTTGTTTGCTTCTTTTAAGTCGAGAAAAATAACTTTGAAATTTGAATTAGCTTAAATAGCCAATTTTTTCACGTGATGGTAGTAACGTACGGTTGCTGAGTTAGTAGAACTTTTGTTTCACACGCTTGGGGTACGAGGTTCCAACCCCAGTGTGGCAATGAATTTTTTGCATTTTTTCTTATTTCTTTTTAAGTTAGATTAAATTTATAACTCGTTTGATTCTTATCTCATTTAGATTCAATAACTTCAATAAAGATCAAGGATCCCATCACTTTAGACGCCCCTTTCAAGAAGAAATTTCTTATTCGTATTAAAATTATTTTACTATATTTTTTTCAACGATACGTCAAATGACTACAAGTCGTATCTATTTATTGGTTATTTTATTTAAGTAAAACATTAAAATTAATATAGTTCATATTTCAATTGTAGTATCTTCTTAAACACCAAAAGTTACTATGAAATGACTACTATTATTTCTATTTAAGTTATCTATTACGATTAATGCAAAAAAATATTGAGTTACTCTGATAAATTTATTATAAATAGTAATCATAAAATTTCCTGACTGCATATTAATCTTAACAATACAATTTTTTTAATTTTCATAAAATTTTCTATATAATTATGTCAATTTCAAACTTGCAATTGAACTAAAAGTACGGCAACATATTTAATTTTTTTTTACGATAAACTTTCACAAAAACTTTTCATCAACTTTAAAGAACCAAAAATATAGGTTATAAATGAAAATTTGGACTGATTATTTTTAACATATTAAAAATGAAATCAGTTATAATTTGTAAACAATTTTTTTTTCTTTTAATTATTATTTTATATGTAATTTGATATTATACAAAAAAAAATTTTTATATGTAATTTGTTATTATATAAAAAAATTTGTTTATATGTAATTTGTTATTATATAAAAAAATATTTTTTATGTAATTTGTTATTATATAAAAAAATATTTTTTATGTAATTTTTTATTATATAAAAAATTAGAAAAGATAGAAAAGTCTAATTGCAGATTTGAAAACAGCGCGAAAGTTGATTTAGAGAAGTATATTTTTGCTTCTGTTGAAAATTCCTTGTAGTCCAGTGTATTTATTCATAAGTAACAAAATTTTTTTATTAAAAAGTATTGCATTAATCCCTTTAAATTTTTATGCACGTTAAAAGTAAAGGAATATACAACTACTTTATTATTTTTATAATTTCTCCATATGAATTCCAATACTAAATTGTTGAATATCAATTTCATACAAAATTTAATTACTATTATTATTTTTTTGTGTTTGTCGCTCATTTTTCTGAGCTCTCACTTGACCAATTTTTTTAATGATATGTCAAATGATTAGAATTTGTATCTAGTTGAAGATATTACTCTCAAAAATTGCAAAAAAATTCTAATTTATCAATTAAACAGTTACTTATATCATGTTCTTCATACAGACAATTAAAATCATTCATTTCTAATGTTTACAAAATACTTATTGACGAATTAAGTTTGATATGATAGGTTTCAAATACAAAAATAAATCATTTTACTTTGTAATTTAATAATTTTTTTACTCTATTTGTGTGTGCTACTACTACTAGTCTATAATATTTCAAATTTGTTGGTAACATGTTGCTATATAAATCATTTCTAAAAAAAAAATGATTATTAGTTTCTTCTGAATTGATAATGGATTTTTACAATTATAATCAAATTTTATTATACGTTCAATTGAGTAAATCTTTTAAATAACTTTGTTTTCATTGGTTCATTTAGTTAAAGTAAATCATTAAAATTAATTAAGTTCTGAATATTACAATTTCAGAATCATTTCAAACACCAAAAGTTACTAGGAATTTATTAATATTACTTCTATTTAAGTTATCTATTACGATAAAAAAGAAAAAAAAATATTGAGCTTCTATGATAAATTTACAATAAATAGTAATTATAAAATTTCCTGACTGCATATTAATCTTAACAATACAATTGTTTTAATTCACATAGAATTTTCTATTTAATGATGTCAATTTTAAACTTGCAATTAAGCTAAATGTTATGGTAAAATAATTTTTTTTTTTATTATTATAAACATTCACAAAAATCAACTTTAACGATTAAAAAAGTAGGTTAAATATGTCATTTTTTTATTTTTAACATATTAATAATCAAAATCAGTATTAATTAAAAATAATTGTTTTTTGTTCTTATTTTTTTTTTTTTTATATATTAATACTATTTTTTAATTATATAAAAAATTATAACTGATAGAAAAAGTCTAATTGCACATTTGAAAACATCGCGAAAAGTTGATTTTAAATAGTATATTTTTGTTTCTGATGAAAGTTCCTTGTAGTTCAGTGTATAAAACTTATAACTTTGTAACTGTTATAACTTTATCAAAAATGACCAAATTAGTATAATTTTTTTTTTTTTAGATGCATGTCTTTACTTATCATTTGGTTTTTTTTCATTTATCTAATCCTTTACCTGCCCACAAAAGGGATTCAAAATTATAACATTTTTTTTTTAGTTAAAGTAAATCATTAAAATGAATTCAGTTCTGGATATTTCAATTGTAGAAACTTTTTAAATACTAAAAATTACTTAGAAATGATTACTAAGATTTTTATTTAAGTGTTCTATTACGATAAAAATGCAAAAAAATAATGAGTTTTCTGATAAATATACTGTAAATAGTAATTATAAAATTTCCTGACTGCATATTAGTCTTAAAAATAGCATAGTTTTAATTCTCATAAAATTTTCTATTTAATGATGTCAATTTCAAACTTGTAATTGAGCTAAAAGTGATTGTAACATATTCAATTCTTTTTACTATAAACTTTCACAAATATTTATCAATATTTATAAACTTTGGACTGGGATTTTTGAACATATTAAAAATCAAATCACTAAAAATCTGAAAACAAATTTTTTTTTCTTTTAATTATTTTTTTATATGTAAGTAGAACTAATATAAAAAATTAGAAGTGATAGAAAAAGTGTATTTGCAGATTTGAAAACAACGCGAAAAGTTGATTTAAAAAAGTATCTTTTTGCTTTTGATGAAAGTTCTTTATAGTCCAGTGCATTTATTTATAGTAACAAACAGTTTTTATTGAAAAATATTGTATCAAGCCCTTTAAATTTTTATTCAGGTAAAAGTAAAGCAAAATATAACTTCTTTATTATTTTTATAATTTCTCCGTTTAAATTACAATATTAAATTATTGAATATCAATTTNCATTATTTTTATAATTTTTCCGTAAAAATTACAATATTAAATTACTGAATATCAATTGTATACTAAATTTAATAATTATAATAAGTATTTAGTCATATACTATATTTTAAAATAAAAGACCTACTAATCAGGATATAATCAAAGAAATAAGAGTTAATGTTGCTTTTGGAATCATTCACCAATCTTAAAATAAAATATTATCTATATATTTTCAACAAAGTGTTTCTTATGATAGTGATTTTAATTACTGTCAGATATCACCTATGCTTGTCCTATCTATGCCTCATCCACACTGTGACTCGACCCCACTGTGCTACCGTTTTTTTTTCCATACCTTTTATATAATATGTAGTTATATGTCTTTTTAATCCCTTCCGTATTAAATATTTGAACTTTAATGTTTTTACTATTTTTAGTTTGATGACATTTTTAAAAAGAAATTTCAATCAATTTTATTCTTAAAATAATTTTTTTATTTGATTAACCGCACTTCTATTATTCCTTGTTAAAATTTAGGGATTTTTATTTAATTTCTATTGATAATTTCAGAACTTCAGAAATTTCAGAACCTTAACAGTGATTTCACATATCTGTATTTTTATAATTTTTATGAATAAAGAAAAGACTGATTCACTTAAAAAAACCCAGCACAGGAGGGCCGCGGCACAGTGGTGCCGTGGTATAGTTGGATCAAGTTTAATGATATCTGACAGTGATTAAAATCACTATAAAAAAAAAACGCTTCGATGCAAATCTTTAGATAGTGTTTAATTTTAAAAAATTGGTGGATTATTCCAAAAGCTTCATAAACTGCTAGTTCATTATTAATATCCTAATTAAGATAAAGTATGTCGAATGAAAAAGGGATTATTAAAAAATAGTATTTCTTATAAAAAAATTATGTTGATCCATAAACTTTTAAATATGACATAGCATTATAAAGTTAAAAATGTAAANATTAAAAAATATTATTTCTTATAAAAAAATAATGTTGATCCATAAACTTTTAAATATGTCATAGCATTATAAAGTTAAAAAAATATAAAATATAAAATCGAGAACTTTCACACAAAAATAGCATTCGGTAGCCATTTTTACTACGAAGTCCAAAGGTCAAATTTTTTTTTTTTTATTAAAGTATATTACATTAGCTTTAATTTAAGATATATATAAAAGTGTCAGACTTTCGGGAACACTTTCAAAAGTTAAGTTGAAAAAGTCATACTTTAAATATGCATTTTTTATATTTGAAGCCCTCCGTATATAGGGAAATGATCTGATTTAAAAAAAAAAGTATGTCAAATGAAAGATGTTTATAAATAATACTTCTTATGAAAAAATTGTATTGATCCATACATTTTTTAAAAAGTTATAGCACTTTAAAGTAAAAAATGTAAATTATAAAATTGAGATTTTTCACACAAAAATAGCATTTGGTAGACATTTTCACCATGAAAAAAAGTCCAGAGATCAAATTTTTTTTTTTAAATTTAAGTATATTACATTAGCTTTAATTTAAGATATATATAAAAGTGTCAGACCTTCGGGAACACTTTCAAAAGTTAAGTTGAAAAAGTCCTACTTTATATATGCATTTTTTATATTTGAAGCCCTCCGTATATAGGGAAATGATCTGATTTAAAAAAAAAAGTATGTCAAATGAAAGATGTTTATAAATACTACTTCTTATGAAAAAATTGTATTGATCCATACATTTTTTAAAAAGTTATAGCACTTTAAAGTAAAAAATGTAAATTATACAATTGAGATTTTTCACACAAAAATAGCATTTGGTAGACATTTTCACCATGAAAATAAGTCCAGAGATCAAATTTTTTTTTTTAAATTTAAGTATATTACATTAGCTTTAATTTAAGATATACAGGGTGTTCAGTAAGTCAGGAAACGGGTTTCTATTGTTCTCATTGTTACAAACAATGAGAACAATAGAAACCCGTTTCCTGACTTACTGAACACCCTGTATATCTTAAATTAAAGCTAATGTAATATNTAACAATGAGAACAATAGAAACCCGTTTCCTGACTTACTGAACACCCTGTATATAAAAGTGTCAGACCTTCCGGAACATTTTCAAAAGTTAAGTTGAAAAAGTTAATTTTTTGTGAAAAAGTTATCTTTTTAAATCCCCCCCTGTGGGCAGATAAAGGGTCAGATTTACAAAAAAAATATACCAAATGATAAGTAAAGACATCAAGCATCTATATAAAAAAAGTATATTAATATGTTCATTTTTGAAAAAGTTACAGCACATTTTAGTAAAAAAAATTGAAAAAATTTCGTAAATTAGCGATTTTTAAATTTGTAATTTTTTTGAAGGTTTCCCCCATTTACGGGGAATGAGGGAAATTTTTTCAATTTTTAAGGGTAATGTCTTCAACTAGATACGATTTGGGATCTTTTGACGTATCGTTGAAAGAAATCGGTTCGGTGAGAGCTGAGAAAAAGTGGTAACAGACATAAAAAAAAAAAATAAATAAACACATCATAGTAAAATTAATACCTTCTCAGCTTCGCATCGAAGCTAAAATAACATGTACAAAACTTTATTTTATTTTATTATTTATTCTTATCAACTTTTACACTATTTAATATTTATTTTTGAAGTCCGAATGACTTTATTGTCATTATAAGTAAATGATTTTAATTAGTAAATAAAGGGAGGCATGACTAGAGGACGTTTAAAAATAATTTAATTATAGTTTAGGTCAACCAATAAGTTTTATTTATATTCCTTCATAACATTAAAAATAATTAATGTGTAATTAAATTGTTATTATGTTAATTAAATAATATATTTTATTAAAAGTTTTATAAATAAAAAAATTAAAATTTTAATAAATAAAAAATGAATATACTATTTTCCTCATATAGCAATTGTATATGAAGAAGACGATGAAAAATGGGAATCTGAAAATATTATAACGATAGAAGCAGCTGCCAATGGAGACTTGGATGGTTTAATATATGCTCATAAAAATGAATGTCCTTGGGATGAAAGAACAACAGAAGCCGCTGCATCTAATGGTGAATTAAAATGTTTAATATATGCTCATAAAAATAAATGTCCTTGGGATGAAAGAACAACAGAAGCCGCTGCATCTAATGGTGAATTAAAATGTTTAATATATGCTCATAAAAATAAATGTCCATGGGATGAAAGAACAACAGAAGCCGCTGCGTCTAATGGTGAATTAGATTGTTTAATATATGCTCATGAAAATGGCTGTGAATTGAATCCAGAGAATATTGCGAGAATTGCTATTGATCATGATTATGTAGATATTTTACAATGTGTTGATAAATATTTAGTGGAATGGAAAAAAGTATTCATTACTTTGGCTGCCTATAAAGGTAGTATAAACGTTTTAAAATATGCCCATAAAAATGGATGGCCGTGGGATGAAAGAATAACAGAAGAAGCTGCTTCTAATGGTAAATTAGAATGTTTAAAATATGCTCATGAAAATAAATGTCCGTGGAATAAAAAAACAACAGAAGCAGCTGCTTCTTATGGAGATTTAGATTGCTTAATTTATGCCCATGAAAATGGGTGCGAGTGGGATGAAAGCACGACGGAAGCAGCTGCAAAGTATGGTCACATAGAATGCTTAATATATGCTCATGAAAATGAATGCCCATGGGATGAAAGAACAACAGAAGCAGCTGCTTCTAGTGGTCAATTGGAATGTTTAACATATGCTCATAAAAATGGATGTCCGTGGAATGAAAGCACAACAATAGCAGCTGCCTCGAGAAGTCATTTGGAATGTTTAAAATATGCTCATGTAAATAAATGTCCGTGGAATGAATTGACGGCAAAAGCGGCTGCACAAAGTGGTAAACTAGAATGTTTAAAATATGTCCATGAAAATGGTTGTAAATGGGATGAAGGCACAACTAGTGCTGCTGCAGCAAGTCGCAGACTAGACTGTTTAAAGTACGCCCACGAAAAAGGATGTGTTTGGGATAAGAGTACAACCAAAGCAGCTGCAGAAAGTGGCTGTTTTGAATGTCTAGAGTACGCCCACAAAAATAAATGTGTTTGGGATGAAACCACAACTAGTGCTGCTGCATCGAGTGGTTGTTTTGACTGTTTAATATATGCCTATGAAAATGGAAGTGTTTGGGATGATAGTACAACTAGAGCTGCTGCAGCAAGTGGCTGTTTAGAGTGTTTGATATATGCTAACATGAAGGGATGTAATTGGGATAAACATACAATAGTTGCTGCAGCTGAGAATGGTAAATTAAATTGTCTTAAATATGCCCGTGAATATGGATGTGATTGGGTTGAAGGTACCACGAAAGCGGCTGCAGCAAATGGACATTTAGATTGCTTAATGTATGCTCATGAAAATGGGTGTGAGTGGGACGAAGGCACAACAAGAGAAGCTGCTTCTAATGGTAAATTAAAATGTTTAAAATATGCTCATGAAAATAAATGTAAATGGGATAAAGAAACAACAAGTGGAGCTGCTGCAAATGGCCATTTAGATTGCCTAAAATATGTTCATGAAAATGGGTGTGAGTGGGACGATAGCACAACAAGACTGGCTGCTGAAAAAGGTCGATATCAGTGCTTAAAATATGCCCATGAAAATAATTGTCCTTGGAGTAAAGGAACCCTTTATGCAGCTATTCATGTTAATTGTCCTTATATAGTCGACTATGCTTTGAGAAATGGGTGCTCCAGTTAATTTCCTGTGAAATAACATTAATTGTATTATATTCAACTGCGTTGCCTATAATTATATTATTTTAAAATAAATTAACTTGAGCTTTCATGTATCTGAGTTTGTATTGATTTTATTATCAGACTTTTTGCCATATTACTTTTTCAGAAATACTATTTCTAAAATATAATCAAAATTCTGTGGATTAATCAGTTGTCATCTTAGCACTGATGATTGACTGCATTGTTTACGACTATAATTACTTGAAATAGGACAATTAATTGATTGCTCAAAACATCGATAATTCGTGAAATCAATCATAAAATTATCAAATTTCAAAGTAGATGAATATTGTAACAATATATTATCCGATGGGAAAATATAACCCTTATCACTACTTAATATAATAAAATATCATTATACTTGTTTACTGTTTATTAACAAATAATTATGACACTAAATGCTGTTGAAGAGTATCCAACTTTCGATACGATAGGTAATTAAGGGAAAGAGGGGGGTTAAACTAAAACAACCCTCGTTATATAATAAATTTGAGCACTTAAAAAAATTATTTTTTTTGGACAGGGCAGAAGAATGATTCCAATTTTTGGACTTTAAATCTTTTTTGCCTCTCTTTATAAATGCCTTTTATTATACCACTTAATTAGTTGTACTTTTCTCATTTCTTAATTGATAAAAATAATATAGGAGTTACGTGACACTGATGATATGATTAGTCATTAAACAGATGTTTTATAAAGGTATTCTTCAATATCCCTTACTCTATAACTGTCATTCTAATTAGTCTCATATGAAATCAAACAAAAATATATGATTTAATATTATTTAATTGTTTAAAGGAGGGCAACGAAATTAATTCAGTCCAATTAAGATTCGATTTTTTGATTGGTCGCAATTTGAAAAAAATTGAGGGACTAGTCTCTTAAAATTCTATCATAGAATATACTGAAAATAAATAAACTGTATTTCTCGCTATATAGATATATTTTTTAGTTTAAAAAATTATATAATTAGAGTTTTCAAATATTTTGTTGTTATACTCCTATACTCTAATCAATTTAAGTAATCATAAGGCAGTTATAAGTTTAAAGGATAACAAATCACTGGCGTACGCATTTGGCGTAGAGGAGGGGTTGAGATTGAAACCCCCCTAAAATTTATAATCTAATCGACAATTTTGGGCGATACAATAACAATAAGTAATAAAAATCAAAACGAACATATAATACTATAAATATTTCCATATTATAAATATTAATTCTCATAAAAAAATTGTATTGATCCATTCATTTTTCAAAAAGTTATAGTAATATAAAGTTAAAAAAACGGTAGCACAGTGGGGTCGAGGCATAGATGAGACAAGTATAGATGATATCAGACAGTGATTAAAATCACTATCATAAGAAACGCTTCGATGCAAATCTGTAAATAGTGTTTCATTTAGAGATATTGGTAGATTATTCCAAAATAACATCAACTCTAATTTCTTTGATTATATCCTGATTAGTAGTTCTTTGATTTTAAAATATAATATAAGAATAAATACTAATTATAATTATTAAATTTAGTATGAAATTGTGAGGCCCGCTATGATGTATAGTTCATTGTGTTGGGTGGCTGATAAGAAAGTAGAGCAGAGAATTAGTGTAGCAGAGATGAGAATGTTTAGTTGGATGAGTGGAGTGACTAGAGAAGATTTAATAAGGAACGAGTATATAAGAGTGAGTATAGGTGTAGTGTCAATTGTGGATAAGATGACAGAAAATAGACTTAGATGGTTTAGTAATGTTATGAAGCGAGAGGAATCGGAAGATTAAAGAATAGTTATAGGAATGAATGTTGAAGGAAGAAGCGGTAGAGGAAGATCAAAAAAGAGATGGAAGGATGTTATTGAAAGTGATATGTCCTCATATGCATAGCTCATATCACAGCTGATGTGAGCGTAGAAGATGTGGGGGGAGATCATGTCAAGTGGAAGTTTAGAATAAGGGTGGGTGATCCCAAATAGTTGGGATTAAGGCAAGGAAAAGGAAAAAGATTACCAGAAATTCCGGTGGCAATTGACATAATATAATTGTTGTTTGGGAATGTACAATTTAGCGTTTAGTTGGGTTTAAACAATATAGCGTCAAATCAATTACCTACTCTATTGGTTGTATATTAATATACACTACACTTAAATGATACAATAAATAAATAAACTCACACATAAACACATATGCATTTATAACATTGCAGTGGCGCAACCAAGGGAGGGGGTCCCCGGGTCCGGACCCCCCCCCCCTTGAGCATTTTAAAGTGAAAAATTAGGTAGGTAATTTTAGCTTTTATCAAACTATATTTTACAATAAACACTATTTATTTTTGTAGCATAATAGTTTAAACTGGGTCTGCTTTGCAGCAGATAACAAATCATTATCTTATAATGAAGCCGTGGTATAAGGTCTATAATCATTGATTAATAAAATATAACAAACTACTATGATTATATACATTGACAAAAACATGTTTGCGTTTATGACAATGGTTCATTGCAAGAATATGTAACCTATTATTATCAAACCAAAATTCCACAAAACCCTATCGGCAATCAGTTAATATAAACTCGTGTATTTCGTCTTTTGTATTTTGTTATTTGTTTTTATAGTTATTTATTTTTTTAATTATGAAACGTATAAATGATTATTTTAAAAAATCAGATTCATCTGAATCGAATCCTAAAAATTCTAAACTTACCACTAGCGATGTTCAAACTTCTAATACAGAAACAAAGGCCGTGGTTGATCATAGCATTTTTGATATTAGCATATATGTCGGTAAAAAATTAACGGATGCTGAAAAAACTAATTTTCTAGAAAATATATGGATTCCAGGTAAGAATTATTCATTTCCTTCTACTGAGCATGGAAAAAAACTATTGAAATTTCAGTATAGCTGGCTGGAAAAATGGAATTGGCTTGCCTATAGTAAAGTAAAAGATGGCGCTTATTGTAAATATTGTGTGCTTTTTTCTCAATCAAAAGGTGGTAAGGGTAGTCAGCCGCTAGGTCAACTTTGCACTGAAGCTTTTAACAAATGGAAACATGCTGTAGAAAGGTTTAATAACCATGATAAAGCAAATTATCATCAAAATAGTATAATCGATTTTCAATCAATTACAGCAATCATTGCAGGAAAATCTGACACTGTTTATCATCAACTAAATAAAGCTGAAAAAATTCAAAAAGAAAACAATCGAAAAATTATCGTTCCAGTAATTGAATCGGTGCTTCTATGTGGACGACAAGGCATCGCACTTAGAGGTCACCGTGACTCTGGAGTTCTTAAACTTGAAGATCCCTTAATAAATGAAGGTAATTTTCGAGCATTATTGAGATTTTTCCTAAAGGCAACTGCAAAATCCGGCGATGAAAGTTTTTTATTGGCTAGAGAAAATTGTAGTAAAAATGCACAATATCTAAGTTGGAAAATACAAAATGAAATTGTTAGCATCTGTTATGAAATTATTTCATCCAAAATTGTAAAACAAATTAACGAAAGTAATTTTTTTTCAATAATAGCTGATGAAACAGCTGATATATCGGGTATTGAACAGTTTGCTTTATGTGCTCGTTATTATGATAGTAAAACCAAAAATATTCATGAAGATTTTTTGAAGTTTGTTCCGGTATATGATGTAAGTGGAAAAAGTTTAGCGAACTATATAATTACTGAGTTAAAAGAATTAAATATCGAAGTAGAAAATCTACGAGGTCAAGGTTATGATGGAGTGGCAAGCATGAGTGGGAAATTTAATGGAGTTGCAGCTTTAATTAAGAAAGAACAACCAAAAGCTTTATATGTGCATTGTAGTGCCCATAATCTTAATCTATCTGTTTCAAATTCATGTAATATTCAAGGAATAAGGAATACTTTGAATACAATAGAAGCGTGTTATAATTTTTTTAACACTCCGAAGAGACAACAGTTTTTTTCAACACATTTAGACGAATTAAAAAAAAATGAATCTTCATCTTCAAAAGAAAAATTGAAAAAATTATGTCCTACTAGGTGGATTGAGCGTTATAACTCAATTGAAACATTTTATGAATTTTTCCCTGCGATTTTAAATTGTTTAGAAGAAATAACTTTGTGGAACGATAGTGATACATCAAGTAAAGCAAATCATCTTCTATTAGCTATTCAAGCATCAGAATTTAACGTGGCCCTAACTATTCTGAATTATATTTTTCCATATTCTCATTCACTATGTAAATATTTACAAACCAAAAATATTGATTTATCGGAGGCTATGGAACACATAAGTTTAGTAAAGAACCAATTAATGTTTATAAGAGAAAACGTTACTCTTGAATTCAAAAAATTGTATAATGATCTTATTCTAAGATTAAACGATTTTGAAATTACCATTAAAATTCCTAGATTAGCATTGCGTCAAAAACACCGCATGAATATTCCAACAGATAATGCTGAAGAATATTTTAAAATAACTTTATTTATTCCATTTCTTGATTCGTTCATTCAACAACTTAATGATCGATTTATGAATCATAAAAACATTATAAGTGGATTTCAAATGTTAGTAAAGTGTTCAACATTCAATGAAGAAAATCTCAGAGAACTTGTTGAATTTTATGGCGATGACGTTGACAATTTTGATCGTGTAAAATCAGAAGTTTTATTGTGGAATCGTTATCTAGTTGACAGTAAAATTCAATCAAAAAATGCTATCGAAATCTTAAATAATTGCAATCCAGATTTTTTCCCAAATGTATTTAAGCTTTTGCAAATACTGGTCACACTCCCTGTCACATCTTGCGAAGCTGAAAGATCATTTTCTTCGCTCAAACGTATCAAAACTTATTTGAGAAACTCAACATCAGAGACAAGATTGAATGGTCTAGCTGCTCTTAATATACACTACAATATAGATGTACAAAACGAAGAAATCATAAATCGCTTAGCAACTTCAAAGCGCCGTTTGGACTTTATTCTATAAATTATTTTTAACTTTATTATTTATACATTTACACAAAAAAAAAAAAATTATTATTAATATGATTATTTATGATTACATTTTTGAGTTATAATTTTGGACCCCCCCCAGGGATTTTTTCTAGTTGCGCTACTGTAACATTGTGTCTAGTGTAAGTATAACATGATAAAAAGTAATCTTAAAATGAAGAAAATGGAATATAAATATTAGTACTCATATTAAATGTAATGTAACTCTAAAAATATTTGTTTAAACGAAAAAATATAGTATAATTTTTTTATTTATAATTTTCTTTTAAACAACTTTTGTACGAAACTTTTTTTGTAAGTTAAATATTTTTTGAAAAAATTAAAAAAGCTCATATTTTTGAACTTTTGCGAGGCTGTAAAAAAAAAAACTCAATTTCAATCAATGAGGACTATTAGTATGTCATTATACATATTTTAATTCAACTATTAATAAAACAAAATTTGGTTGGGAATTTTTTAAGAAATTTTTCCTTTGTTGACTGGCCTAGATAATTTTAAACTTGTAATTGAGCTAAAAGTTATGGTAATATATTCAATATCTTTTACTATAAACTTTCACAAATCTTTATCAAAAATTTTTAATCAACTTTAAAGAACCAAAAATATAGGTTAAAAATGAAAATTTGGACTGAATATATTTAACATATTAAAAATAAAATCAGTAATAATTTGAAAACAATTTTTTTTTTTTTTTAATTATTATTTTATATGTAATTAGTAATAATATAAATAATTAGAACTGATAGATAAAGTCTAATTGCAGATTTGAAAACAACGCAAAAATTTGATTTAGAAAAGTATATTTTTGCTTCTGATGAAAGTTCTTTGTAGTCCAGTGCATTTATTTATAGTAACAAACAGTTTTTATTGATAATTATTGTGTCAAGCCCTTTAAATTTTTATACACGTTAAAGTAAAGCAAAATATAACTTCTTTATTATTTTTATCATTTTTCCGTTTAAATTACAACATTAAATTATTAAATATCAATTTCATTCTAAATTTAAAAACTATAATTTGTATTTATTCATATCTTATATTTTAAAATAAAAGACCTACTAATCAGGATATAATTAAAGAAATAAGAGTTGATGTTGCTTTTGTAATAATCCACCAATTGCCTATTTAAAAAAAAAAGAAAAAATTGATTGGGAATTTTTTCTGTTATTCTCCAAAATTACTCCTTCGTTGACTAGAATGAATCATTAAATAGACAATTTTATGAGAATTAAAACAATGTTATTTTTAAGATTAATATGCAGTCAGAAAGTTTTATAATTATTATTTATTGTAAATTTATCAGAAAAANAGAAATGTTATAATTACTATTTATAGTACATTTATCAGAAAAACTCATTATTTTTTTACATTTTTATCGTAATAGAACACTTAAATAGAAATCATAGTAATCATTTCTATGTAATTTTTGGTATTTAAAAAGATTCTACAATTGAAATATCCAGAACTGAATTAATTTTAATGATTTCCTTTAACTAAAAAAAAAAAAAATTATTATTTGAATCCCTCTTGTGGGCAGGTAAAGGGTTAGATTTATAAAAAAAACCAAATGATAGATAAAGACATGCATCTAAATAAAAAAAAATATNAAAATTTACTTTTTCAACTTGACTTTTGAAAGTGTTCCGGAAAAACTGACACTTTTATATATATCTTAAATTAAAGCTAATGTAATGTACTTTATTATAAAAAAAAAAATTTTGGACTTTATTTTGTCAAAATTAAAAACTATCTAAATATTTGCATCGAAGCGTTTTTTTTTGACAATGATTTTAATATCACTATAATATTATCATTATACTTGACCAACTATGCTACGTCACCACTGTGCCGCGACCCCCTTGTGCTGGGTTTTATAAAATCAAAGAACTACTAATCAGGATATAATTAAAGAAAATAGAGTTGATGTTGCTTTTGTAATAATCCACCAATTTCTAAATGAAACACTATCTACAGATTTGCATCGAAACGTTTCTTATCACTGTCAGATATTATCTATACTTGTCCCATCTATGCCTCGACTCCACTGTGCTACCGTTTTGTATATTATCTTTCCACTATTTTACTATAAACTATCACAAAACTTTATCAAAAATTTTTCATCAACTTTAAAGAACCAAAAAAGTAGGTTAAAAATGAAACTTTGGACTGGGATTTTTGAACATATTAAAAATCAAATCACTAAAAATCTGAAAACAAATTTTTTTTTCTTTTAATTATTTTTTTATATGTAAGTAGAACNTTCAACCGCCCAACACAATGAACTATACATCATAGCGGGCCTCACAATTTCATACTAAATTTAATAATTATAATTAGTATTTATTCTTATATTATATTTTAAAATCAAAGAACTACTAATCAGGATATAATCAAAGAAATTAGAGTTGATGTTGCTTTTAAAATATTTCACCAATTTCTCTAAAGGAAACACTATCTACAGNGCTTTTGGAATAATCTACCAATATCTCTAAATGAAACACTATTTACAGATTTGCATCGAAGCGTTTCTTATGATAGTAATATTATTCACTGTCAGATATCATCTATACTTGTCTTATCTATGCTTCGTCCACACTGTGCCTCGACTCCACTGTGCTACCGTCTTTTTTTTATGAATATTTTCTACCGTAATATTTCCTTAGCGATATGAGGATGTGTCAGATCAATAACCGGTATAAAAATTCTGTTAAATGTTAAAGGCCAATTCCAAATAGTTTGGATAGACGTTATGAGATGATGATAAATTTTTATGTTTACTAACTATCCCGTAATAATCTGAAGAATAATATTCTCGTTACTGAGATTATGATTTCGTTATATCACTAGTTACACTGCAATACAATGGATAGTATTTTGTTTAAATAATTATACTTTCATTTTTACTCAAAATAATCAGCGACATATTGAGAAGTAATAAATCAGGGTGATTCTTTTAAACCCAATTCAACCACTTGTTAATTAGTCGAAAAATAAATATAATATTGAGAATTTTACTTTTGATTGCTTTTAACTTCATATTTTTCTGTATTTATCAATCGGGAAATATTTTTTATATTCATCCCTTCTTATTAGACCAGTTTTTATTAAGTTATTAACAATTTAAAGTAATGACTGAAAATTAAGAAGGATGTTATTATTTGTTTCACTAGATATTTGTTGGCCTCGCATATCATTGTACACAGTCCATAAATACATTATCAATAAGACTAGAAATTATGTGCATTTACAAATTCTGTTTTTAATACCTTGAAGGGTCCCAAGTTAGTACAACTTTTTTGTATGATGATTATGTAGTGTAGAAATATTTTTCGTTTGAGAGAAATAAACACCCACCCTTCACAAAAATAACTATAACTTCGGTAACAACACATTACTTAGTTTTCAAGACAATTAATTAAAATTTGTACTGACTGAATGTGTTTTTAAATAAATTAATAAAATTAATAAATGCACATAATACCTTGGCTTAATAATTAAAATTGTACTAATTATTGGTAAAAATAATCTTATTTTCCTTTTAGGTTGCCTTTTATATATTTTTGTATTTGCAACAAGCTCTCTAGACCACAATAACATGCAATTACACTATTTAGAAAATTACACAAGAACACAACATTATTTACTTTAGACAATAGATTCTATATATTTCTTACAGGCATGTATGTGCGGTTGACGGTTTTTATATTTTGTTTAATGCTTATTTATGCTACATTTACTAGTATCGTGTTACACGATTTTCAATATGTCCTTTTTTGTAGAAATACCGTTAAAATTATGCACATATTATTCATTAATGTTTTTTTATAAACATACTTAAGTAATTAACTTTTATTAAAAAAGGTTTGCTTGGAAACGAAATAATACTTAATACGTTACCACTCAAATAAGCTTATTTTAATCTTTATAATTTATAGAGAGTGATGTGATATTAGGTGTTATAATTAACGTATTAACTATCATTGAGTTCTTCTCACATATCAATAAGTACTTTTTCCAATCAAGACTTATAGCAGTGAATTGAATAGTTTGGATTATTTGTTAAAACTTGAGACGTCAGTATTTTTTAAGGACTAAAAGCAGTGTAGACAGCATTACAGTGCTCATTCATAACTGTTTAAAACTCTTTCAACAACTACCTTTTGATAAATGATAATGAATAAGCTAATGCTATCTACGCTATGCGGTAAAATACAAAACTATTCTATGCGTTATGTCAATTCATTATAAATGAGACAAAAAAAAACAGATTGATGAGTATAATTCATAATTGTTTTCCTTGAAATACTTGAGTCATAATTTTGATTTACAACAACATATCTGTTGTCGTCGAATTCATAAATAAATTTTACGCAAAATTTTTATAAATTATAAATATTGCTTAATTTTTTTAATGGAAATTTCATAAAAAAAAACAGCAATCCATTAAAAAAATTAGATTTTATATCTAGAATAGAATTCTGATAGAAAAATAAAAAAATGATTAACATAATAAAATTAAAGTAAATAAACAAGAATAAAAAGTTCGTTTATTTACAGTTTAGCAGCCTAAAGACAGTATAAAAATTGATTACATTTATTATTTCAATATTATTTTAAAAATGAATAGACATTACAAAGGCTATACTATGTCTTGATGAATATATTTTTTTCTGTTATTTATTGCTTTGATACTCATTTATCGTGAGTCAGTCGGTAACATGAATACAGAGTGATACATTTATCATGAAAAATAAAAATAATATTGAACATTTTTTTATTTTTGTGCAATTTATGAATAACGAAGCATTTTTTATTTTTATCGTGTGGCAACATACATAATTAATTAGTTTGTATCGTCGACAATTAGTCTAATTAGAAAACTAACTGGTCAATATCAAATTTTGAGTCATTATTTTGGTATTTATTATCAATTTAAATTAATGGCTAAAAATTAGCCAGATGTTATTTTTATAA